CTCTAGGAACGAATCAATGAAGCAAGAACCTATCACCTAATGAATATACAGAAGCAGAAAGTGGAGATGGATTGGGCATACACTGAGAAGACCGATTGGAGACATCGCGTGACAGGCTAGGCTGTCGAGTGGAATCCAATTGGAAGCGACGAGCTGGGCGTCCCGGCTGAGGGTGACATGGAGGAGATCGTGTGAGGAGGAAATAAAAGCTCGCGGGAAGTCGTGGAGGGAGATTCAAAGATTACAGAGAAGAAGGCGCGATGGAGACGTGCTACTGAAGTCCTATGTTCCACTAGGAACCCAAGGACAAAATAATAATAATACTGCAACAAAAGATATATATGTTTATATATACTCGTTTACAACATATCAAATAGTGTCATTATAAGAATTTAAGTAATTTAAAGGATATTAAAAAAGAGAACATTTTGCAATGTTAATTAAATGATTAGATGAGATTATTAACTGTAACATAGTTGATAGGTGAGTTCTTTTCTAGCACGTTTTTTCCCACGTAATATGTGTGTTGTGTAAGGTACAGCTAAATTCTTGTACTTAGCTGTACAACAGCACAGTCTGATATTGTTTCATTTTATCCCTCCCTGAGGAGATACAACCAGAGAGCTGTGAATGAAGTGGATGCTCAGCATCAAATAAAATTACTGTTACTAGTGGCACTAGAGGCACACTAATCACCCTACTGACGACTTACAAAGTCCTACGTAAAATAACATAGTTCTTTCTCAATAGTCCAGAAAAGATCAATGGGTAATAATGGAGAAGAATAAGTAAAATGCTAGAATTATTAAATTGTAAAAGTGAAGGTTGATTTATATCAGACAGTCTCAGTTTCTTTATGTAATACGTTAAAGGAGATTTTCTTGGAAGTCAACAAGATATGAGACGACCAAGCAAGATTAGATGTAAAAATCTATCCAAGATAGTTGACATTCAATTTACTTTATGCAGAAATATCATTAATGCAACAGGTTTCAAGGAACTTAAGCTGCTCACCCAAGTCTTCTTTACTCCTCACGCTAAAATTAACAGTCTGACATTTAGAAGGGTTTAACTTGAGACCATTTGAGAGAAACCATTGGTCAATTACGGATAAGTAACCATTTAATTCAAAACAATCTAAGTGAGAGTTAACTGGCATAGATGTCATTAGGTTATCAGCATACTTAAAAAATTAGTTTCCACAGAATAAGGTAAGTTGTGCAAAAACAGGGAAAATAGAAAAGGAGAAAGTACAGAATCTCGAAGCACAGCAGTTTCAGTAAGCAAGGAAGTATATTTCTTCCTTTCGGAAAATTAAGAGTACAGTTACTTTTCAACCCATGATCCAGTATGACCTATGACAAGCTTATTTGGTCTAGGAAGAGAGTCAAAGGCTGGTGAGTGATCTAAGAAGGTACAAAGAACATGTTTAACACCTGTGTCTAGACTAGAAACAATATGATGATGCAAAACAGTTACAGCATCCCAAGTACTTCTTCTGTGTTTATAAGCAAACATTTTTGGATTTCTGAAAGCCTTCAATAAAGGTGCCAGTACAAGGAGAAGAAATTCCCCCATTGTCTGCAAAAAAAGAAAGTTATACCGACGGGTCAAAACTTAACATCTGATCCACTAGGTGACTTAGGTACAGGTACAACTTTGATCTCCTTCCAAGCAGCGGGTATTTTGTTTTTAAAAGACGATGCATTGAAGATATCTGTAAGGGGATGGCATAAAGTATCTGCACATTTTCCTAATGTGATACTTGAAACAGCATCAGAACTAGGCTGTCAGATGGACTCAAGGACTCAAGACACTTAATAAATGCATCATTTGTAATAAAACCAGGAAAGCAGCAAAGCATTTGACTATAACATTAAAAAGAATTAACTCAGTCTGTGGGCTTATGAATGACTTTTTTAACGTGTAGACTTCCGAACAAGCTGCCTTTGTTACTTTTTCCACCAGTATGCTCTTTGAATAATTCCATATAATATGTAGTATTTAGACGTTAAATTTCAGATTTAATTAGGTAGTTAAGATTTTGAATGCCAGGATGATCTCTAGTTTAAAAGAACCTTTTTTTCTCTCAGGAGCCTTTTGATTTGAAGAGAGGAAAGTCTGCCAAATCTCATGTAGATTGTTTCAGCAGGGTAGCAAATATCGAGGTAGAAGCTTAGATAGCTTGTGATATTGGTGTTAATGTTGTCTAAAACTTCGCCAGTAAATATATCCAAATCTGTTTCTTTAGGTATGCCTCTCAAACGTGGTATATTCTCTTGTGAATAGTATCTGTGCTGGTCTTTCGTCGAAAGGTATTCGAAAGCTTTCTTGTGTTATTTGCCATAAACTTTAAGCAAAATATGAACATTATAGTGATCAGAAATCAGCAGTGAAGCCTGTTAACCAGCTTCATATATGCCAGTGTCATCTGTTAATACTAAATTCGGTGTTCTGTCAAGACGAGTAGAAAAGTTAACCATATCTTCATAACCAAATGATACAAGAAAACTGCAGTCGCAAGAATTAAAATTTCCACAGACTATCAACAAAGAGTCACCCAGAACAGAAACAACACATTTAGTGAATTCGTCAGGAAAAGTTGACACGTCCGAGAAACTGCAGTCAGGTGTAACATAAATTTTTGCTATAAATATATATATATATATATATATATATATATATATATTTGCATTTACTCAGATGTTTAGGAGGATATATAATGGTAACGCCCTCAGTTTTTTTGTTGGAGAAGCTAAAGCGTACATAGTTGGGGAGGTGGATCAGTTCGCATTGATACATGTTTCCATATTTCTTCTTGGAAAAGCTATGATCTTGTGGAAATAATTTGAAACCATTTAGACAAACTAAATAGTCATCTTAAAAGTTATGAAGCAATGTTTCCTGCACCATTAATACACCCATATTCCGATAAACATTTGCGGACTAGAGTGACTGAAGGTAATCAACTTTATTCGGTAACGACTTTCAGTTTGCGCTAAATGTTCCCGAAATAGTCATTTGATTTATGGTCATAAGCTCGGGAACTATTGCCATCCATTATGATGATTTTTCTTAATTTATCTATCAGTTTGTACAACAATAAATTGTAATGATTTTAAAGACGTGCGACAGTGTATATTACAGTTAGACGACGTAATTAAATGTTCAAAACTATATAGAAAGGAGAGATTCGATGTAATATTTCCGTGGTAAATGAGTTACCCTAAAGTTCAACCAGAAAATTTACGTATTTAGAAGGAATCTATAAAATTATGCTACATAAAAGTAAACAATGAAATTCACGAAATATTTTTCAATTTATTTAGCCCTTATCAAAAGAGAAAAAAATTAATACGGTTTATGTACATGAAAGCTTTTAGATTGAAAGGTAAAGACATTAATATCACGGTTTCATCGCCAGTAAAATTAAAATGCAATAAAGCTGACGGTACTTTAGTTATTAAAAGTGGTTAATTAATCTGATCAAAACTATCTAATCCTTAATACATTTTGTGACGTTTCAGATGTACTATTAAATATTTATATATTATTATTTATCTCTTGGGATCCTAGTGGAACATAGGGCTTCAGTAGCACGTCTTCATTCCACTCTCTTCTCTACAGTGTTTCAAACCTCCTTCCACGACTGCTCACAAGCACTCATTTCTTCCTCACATCATCTTTTCCATGTCACCCTCAGCTGGGACACCCGACTCGTCGTTCCCCACCTGGGTTCTACTCGACGACCTGGTGCGTGATGTCACCAGTCGGCCTTCTCAGTGCATGTTCAATTCATCTCCACTTCCTTCTGCATATTTGTTGGGTGATAGGTTCTTGCTTCATTGGTTTATTACCAGAGTTCCTTGTTGCTTATTCTTATTATTATGGCTTTGTGAGCTTCAGTATCGAGCGTAGGCAGTTGTTGATGAATGTCTGTGGTTCCTTGGAAATGCCTTTCGTAACGCGCCAAGTCTCTACAGAAACACTGACTTGACATTAGTGTTGAAAATCCGGATGTTGTTCACGCTTTGTGCTGAGTGTAGTAGATCTTTAAGCTAATTTCAGATTCATGAAAGCACGTCTTTCTTTTCCGATCGTGATTTTGACGTCCTCGTCTGTGCTGCCACCGGTAGTTGAGACGATGCTGCCCTGCCTAGGTTGGTGAAAGAGACTACTTTCTTTAAGTTTCTCCCGTTGATAGTGACTGGAGCTTGTTGTTGGTGGTGGCGTTGGTTGGGTATCATCATCACCTTCGTCTCCTCTACGGTCATTTGAAGGTTTCAAACGTAAACAGTATTTAAATTCATAAAACAGGCGAGATTCAGATATTTTTTTCTCTGTTAGATATGACTAAGTTCCTCATCCGAAAGACTAGCAGTAATGATTCATACTATTCACTAATGATTGCTTTTGAGATGATAATTTAGCTAATTTTACAGTTTTCCTTTTGTTTTTTTCTGATAGGTCAAAACATTGAAATTTAAAACCTTTGAAAATGTAATAGCACTGAACAATAATTGTTTCGTCACATTAAGCGACTCCTCATGTGTGCGTAACCGAACCCCCCCCCCCCCAAGTATCGAATCCAAGGTCTTCAGACTGCAGTCTGAACTTCCTTAATTCTGTCAACTCACGATGCAACATCCAGTGCCACCAGTGAGTACTTGTCAGCACACCCCACTTCGATGACCCCCTTGAATACCTTCAGCAAAACTGATGGTCAAGTAAAAAGCGATTAAATTGTCCAATATTATAAACTCCTTTTAATTTTCCATACAATATGTTACCTTTAAGCACATCTGTGCAATAATGCTTTCTGATTAAATTGATATGCGTACAAATGAAAATTACACTCGAGACATTATAATACTCTTAACATTTTTTTACTCTGTGACTTATATCGTATGAGGAAACTAATATCTAATAATACTTTAGCATAGAGTGTACAGTCGACTTGTTAAATGAAACTTTTGTAACATATTATAAATAGTACTTACCCTAGTTTGTTCGTGTTTTCCAAGAACAATTGAATTCACGTTTTGTAAACATTTCAAGTTGATTGATCTACAAGTGCATCAAACCACATTTCATCATGTTCATTGTCTCGTGAATAATTACACTTTTTAAGGGAAATTATCCCTTATGAACTGTATATTCTGTTGTATACTCCATAAATGTTCATATTAAAAAATCGATTTCAACTTTCTGTTCTATTTTCTTCATCAGTTAGTTATTATGATAATTTGAAATAATAGATTTGTCAGAAGTTTCTAATTTTACTCGTGATATCGTCTGTTTGAGATGAATAGTTATACTAAAATTAATCTCACCAACTACCTATACTCTTTTAATCTCTGGCTCACCACATTTACATGTATATATAAAGTTATTCAAGAATGAAAGTGCTGCTTGTCTGTGATTGGTTAATTAAATCAACCAATCAAACAATTTAGATGCTGTTGAGCTAACATATCTTTTAGGCACATTACACACTAGCTTTATACTTTTAACAGGCTTCTTATACAATGAAATTATTTTTCATTAAACACCATTAGAAGTTTCTTTCTTTTTATGGATGTGATTTTCAAAAAATCTTACTTGAAAGAAAATACTCTGTTCATACGCTGAACACAGGGCATGGTTAAACATGCTTTAGCGAAACAAAATAATCACTTCAGAAAAATTTAAGAAAAGATGTAATGAGTGGTTGGTTTGTTTCGATTTCTCTAAACTTGTCTTCTGAAGAGTAGAATGCTTTTAGTTAATCATTTTGGCTAGTTTATTATTCTAAAGGTGACTGATACAAGCTGAAAGTGTTTCAAAACACCTAGTCAGATGGTGAAGTTTGAAAGTACAGTCAAGAATAAGCATGTCACTGGTTTAATATTATGAAATAATAATATGCAAGTGAAAAAATTAAAAAAATACTGCTTTTGTTATTACAAAAGAAACGTGAAGCAGTCGGTTGATTTGACTCGGATAATTACATAAAATCTGATCATATATACTTCAAACATATCGTTATGTTCGTGAGCAGCTTCTTCAGAGGCGAATTAGTTCAAAGAACCATTTGACACTAGATAATAGATACAACACGGATTGGTACTGATTTTCATGTGCAGAAACTGGGTCCAATGGAAGATTCAACATGATCTTACCAATAACCACAACAGTACCTTAATTTTTAATCAGTTTAGAAGCTTGTTATATATATATATATATACTAGTGGTAACAATGGTGAGAGAATTAAGACAGAATTCAAAGCCTCTGCTTTGTTACCATACAAGAAAGGCACTTCAGAAGTACTACGAAGAATTCTCAAAAGGGCTGGCTGGGATTAAAGTGGCATTCAAACCAACAAACTCACTTAGAAACAAGCTTTGTAGGTTAAAAGATCCTATTGATACAATTAAGCAAAATAATCTGGTTTACCAGATCCCTTGCAATGATTGCGAGGTCAAGTACATAGGTCAAAGCAGTCGATCAGGGTCGATTAAAATAACAGAACACAAAAACTTAGGTAAATCAAGATTAGTAGATCCTAATAAGATAAGAAATCTAGAGAAAAGCTCGGCTATAGCTCTGCATGTGATGATACACAATCACATTGTAGGGTGGGATAGGGCGACAGTGTTGAAAACTAACTTAATTGGGTGGAGAGAGGGAGAGATTGATAACCGAATCTTTGTTTATCGAGTCAACACTAATCACATGCAGTAATGGAAATGATTCTGTACCTGTCCCAGATATATGGAAAATTCTACTACCCTTGTCATCACAGAGAAGGAGAGAAAATTGGGAATATATGAAGACTGTCTCGAGTTGTGGAGTTACCTGATATGAATATGGACAATAAATGGTGTCCGAAACGTTATCTAGTAAAGGATATTGACCCTACAGTGTGATATTTCTAATAAACAGACTAAAATGGGATTACACTAGACCACAGTGCCAAAGTTTTACACTTATATTCAGAAAATCACTATTAAATTGAATATTAACTGTTTTCAATACATATCATAATAAGATATTGATTTTAATATTTGTTCACTCAAAATAATCTTTAAAAAGTAAAAGTACTCATGAATTTTCAAGTAAGAACCGGTAAAACATTAAACTGTTGAATCACTATAAATTCCTATTTTGAATTTGGGGGTTTGTGGAGAAGTTAGCGATATTTTACGTCTGCTTTCTTCATGGAATGACATCATTTGGAAGAACATTAGAAACCTGGGCACTGGATAGCAGCTGTTTCTTCGTAGTATGGGACACTTCAGCAGTGTGCACCCACGACCCCCCTCTACCACTGATCGACATTCAGGTTCCATGGCCTACATGGGTTGAAAACCAATCGTCCATATTACCAACTTCTGTCATTTCACAACATACTGCAACCACCACTCAATGTCATCGTTGAGTATTTGTCCTTATGGTCACCAGGTTTACCACACTGATCATGACATCCGATTGCAACTTCAGGAATCATTTCTTGAAGTTAGTCACTAATGAGCATTAGTTCAACTGGATTTGGGAGTTTGTGGGGATTCAGAGATGTTGTTATTTGGTTTGCATCATGGAGCATTGGATTGCGACGCAGTGTCTAGCTCAATAGTAACGTGCTGGCTACGGAACCTGATGGTCCTGGACTGGATCCTTGATGAGGTTGGGTTGTGGGTGTACACTGCTGAGAAATTTCATACCAGGGTGAAACGGGTGTCCAATGGTAGCAGATTTCCAATGTTCATCCAACTGATGTCAGTGGATGATGAAAAACAACCTAAAGTTCCTCTTTTGACTAATTAAGAATAATGTTTCGATACTTGAATTTGTAAGACATGTTTGAAAAGATGGGTGAATTGTTTTGCATGCATGTAGTCTCATTACAAATACACACGGTTAGTCAGCTAGTTTTTTGATACTTGGTACAAAAATGGCGGTTTAAATTTTCAACATCAAATCACTTTGACATCTGATATTTATTCCAAGAAAGAACAAACTTAAAAACAGATTTAAGTTATGACTACCTCTGCAACTTTCATTGGTACAGGTTCATTCAATATGCCCTAGGATTAGGATACAATTAGTGAATATGTAAATTATCTCCCACCTCACAGGACATTCAATGTATCCACACTTAGATAAACATTCAACATTGAACAATATTTTGAATAAAATAAACGAATGAGTATCAGTCAGAGTGATCATGTGATTCACAAGGTTATCACTAATGTATTCCAGTCAACTGTCTCTCTTTATGCAAGTTATCTAAATAGTGAAAGAATAAAGAATATACGTAATAACTTCAGTAATTTGCTATTACTAAATAAAATATTAATAATTTAAACCATCAAGTAGATGAATTCAACGTATGATTCAGATTCATTTTCTATTGCTACCTGATTAAAACATCTAATGATTTGATGAAATATTACACAGTAGAATTGTGTATAATGTACACATATTTGTTTATTTACAATAAACTATACTTATTCATCGATTACTGATATGACAATATACATATAGAATACAAGTCGATTACATTTACTTTGAAGAAGAGTGTAAGTAAGATAAAATACAAATGTTTGTTTGTATGTTCATATACTTTTCTTATTTTTGTCTTTTACAAGAACCTAAAGCAATTGAATAGATAATTATATAAATATTATCGATATATAGAATGTGTAATATGTGTATTCTCTGTATATGCGTTTGACCTAATAAACAGAATATATATTATGGGTTAATTTCTTTTTCTCTGTTCAATGTAATATAATATCAAGTATATTGATTAGGGATAATTTAAACTCAAGGGCAACTGTGTTATATGTGTTCAAGGTCATATGGATATTATGCATGTATATATCACTTTTGAATTTGTCATTACCTATTCAACTTACAACAGGGAGAATAATTAAATACGGTAAGATTTGTCCAAGTATTTTGCATAAGGCTATAGACAGACAGAAGGTATTATCTTAGACAAATGTCTACTTTTAACTACACTGTGTGTAACTTTAAAAAGAAAGTACGTTCTAACAATATGAATAGGTGAGCACTGGTCTTTTTTTCAAAGTCAGGTTTATTGACAATATAAGTGGATAGGTGTAACTGACTGACTTGAGCTTTAAAGCAATATACTAGTTAACGAAAGACCATTTTAACGAAGAAACTTTCTTATTCAACAGAACATTTTACGGTAGTTTCAACAAAATTTATGTCAATCAATAGGTAATGGGTTAACACAATGTCATCAAAAATTATCAGTAGAATCATAAGTTGATTTCGGCTAAGAGGTTGCAACAGGTTCATTAATAATTGTTCAGTAGTATAAAATAAACAAACAAATAGTAATCTTTTTAAAAATATCTAATTGAGACGACGACTAAGGTAATTTCCAGGGAGTAGACACACCTTTTTTAAATTCAGAGACCAGTTTTGAGTATTGAAATCGTAAATAATTCTGCTCAGTTCAGTTAGCGATTCCATACACCTCCTTAAATGTTCAATTTGACTTTGAAGGAATATTCTGGTGGAGCAGAATGATCAGAGTTAACCAGATCTTCAAGAATCAACCTGCTAATTGTTTTGCATACTCTTTTAGGCGGCCATGCAGGATAGTGCTTGCAGAAGCATTTATGTAGGACATGCTTTATGTGGCATTGGTAACCAGCTCCACAACATCAGTTGAATTGGTAAGCACATATACAGGTGACGTAAAGTGGTAGTTTATCCTACACACATCATCGAAGCAGTTGGAGTTGGACGCAAAAGTAAGCCTTCACTGTTTTATGTAAATGATTCTAGAGTACCTTTATCAATGTTTCTCCCTTGAATCTAATATCCCTAATAAGTCTCTTTTAAGAAAACGTAGGGGATTCGTCTTGATAATCCTTGGCCTTCGTTTTTATCCAGTGAATCTTGAAGGATAACTATTCTTGGTGAGTAATCTTCAAATTACTTCCAGTTGCCCATTTACTGCATCATCTTTACCAATCCTTTAAATTCTCGTTAACAGTGAATGATCTAAATTTCTTTTCTTGCCTGGTGGAACCCCACTTTCAAAACTGGTACCTTGCATATTCCAGGGTTTTCCTGAGGAAGATTACTAGCATTTATAATCACTAAGAAACTCATGTTCCTACTGGCATTTTCAGTTAGTCGTTTAGTTCTGGAGTAGCAGATTTCGCCACCAAGCAGCACAATCCATTGTAGCACATACTGACACACATTAAATGGCTAATGTATGACAAATTATTTGTCGACTCTGTGATACATTAATACTCCCGATCAAAGTTCCAAACAGAAGTCATTGGAAACATTCTACTGCCTGAGACAGACGACTTTGGAGAGCTAAAAG